CCGCAATCCCTTCTCCTTCCATTCTCCTCTCGGGATCTTGGGCACGCACACACACGCACCCAGCATGAGTTGAACCGTGGTCGACTATGTGGGAGTCCAGTGACATAGCCATTACGCTAACTGCTGGTCCCGAGAGAATAAATTTCTATTGTTTTAAGTCAACGAAGTACCAGTTCGTGGTACTTCATTTCAGCAGTACTAGGAACTGACAGAGCTTGGAACACCACGTGCCAGAAAGTAAAAATAAAAACATAAAAGAAGATCAAAGAATGATGGGGACATATCAAAAGGACACAAAAACTATCTTGAAGTGACCACATAAATAATGGTATTAATGAATTATACCCCACTAAATGGAACAGAAATCCGAGTCTACACTGATCTAAGTACATGGATGCCAGGAGAAGCAATACACCATGGGGCCTGAATGTCCCTTCAGTCTTGCTCAGTATACCCAGCCCTGACCATGCTTCACTCGGGTCATTTCTCGGCTTGCTGCTGTGTGTGCAGCAAGCAGCCTCAGAGATGAGGTATATCTCTCCAACCCCTGACAAAGAGCAGGCTTGCCTCCACCTGCTATAAAAGTGGCAAATACCCCATAGCTCAGTACACAACCTACAGCACACTCACTGCATCTGCAGGAGTCCGACGAGGCCCACCTGCGTTGTCCTTGCGGGGCTGGAGAGTGAGAAGTTGACGCAAACCAAATGAAGCTCATGCAGTTTGCCAAGCCGTGAATAATAAAGTTTTCTGGCTCTGACCCAGGAGTGATGTACCTTCTGCCAGCACGTAAGAAACAGTAACAGGCTAACTTATTAGCTTACAAATACAGTAAAAATCTCACCAGCAGTTAGCGTAATGTCTATGTCGCTGGACTCCCACGCAGTCGACCAAGATTCGTGTCCCGGACCCGTAGCTTAAAACTCATGCCGGGCACGTGTGCGTCCGTGCCCAAGATTCCGAGAGAAGAATGGAGGAGAAGGGATTGCAGCATGGCCATCACCCCAGGTGGTGATTTCTCGCTTTCTGTCTCTTTGCCCTATAGCAAAAACCTCTCTAAAAAATAAAAAAAAGGCCATAACAGATTAGAGTGGCCCTGCATCCAATGACTGGTGTCTTTCCAAGAGAAAGAAGGAAATTTGGGTACAGAGATAGAAGCAGGAACTGAAGTTAGGCTGCCAAAGCCAAAGAATGCCAGGGGACACCGAAAGCTAGAAGGAAGGATTCTCCCCCACAATCTACAAAGGGATTTCAGATTTCCAGCCTCCAAAATTGTGAGAGAATAAATTTTTTTTTCTTTTTTTGGAGAGGCTTTTGCTATAGGGTGCATGTGCTCACCAGACAGACAGAGAGAGACAGAGAGACAGAAAGCGAGAAATCACCCCCCAGGGGGGATGGCCACGCCGCAATCCCTTCTCCTTCCATTCTCCTCTCGGGATCTTGGGCACGCACACACACGCACCCAGCATGAGTTGAACCGTGGTCGACTATGTGGGAGTCCAGTGACATAGCCATTACGCTAACTGCTGGTCCCGAGAGAATAAATTTCTATTGTTTTAAGTCAACGAAGTACCAGTTCGTGGTACTTCATTTCAGCAGTACTAGGAACTGACAGAGCTTGGAACACCACGTGCCAGAAAGTAAAAATAAAAACATAAAAGAAGATCAAAGAATGATGGGGACATATCAAAAGGACACAAAAACTATCTTGAAGTGACCACATAAATAATGGTATTAATGAATTATACCCCACTAAATGGAATAGAAATCCGAGTCTACACTGATCTAAGTACATGGATGCCAGGAGAGGCAATACACCATGGGGCCTGAATGTCCCTTCAGTCTTGCTCAGTATACCCAGCCCTGACCATGCTTCACTCGGGTCATTTCTCGGCTTGCTGCTGTGTGTGCAGCAAGCAGCCTCAGAGATGAGGTATATCTCTCCAACCCCTGACAAAGAGCAGGCTTGCCTCCACCTGCTATAAAAGTGGCAAATACCCCATAGCTCAGTACACAACCTACAGCACACTCACTGCATCTGCAGGAGTCCGACGAGGCCCACCTGCGTTGTCCTTGCGGGGCTGGAGAGTGAGAAGTTGACGCAAACCAAATGAAGCTCATGCAGTTTGCCAAGCCGTGAATAATAAAGTTTTCTGGCTCTGACCCAGGAGTCTTGTACCTTCTGCCAGCACGTAAGAAACAGTAACAGGCTAACTTATTAGCTTACAAATACAGTAAAAATCTCAGACCTTTCACAGTTTTTGACAATGAATATATAAATAACGGGGGGCGGGGGGGAAGGTAAAGCGCATTCTTATAGAAGAATGCTAAATAATAACAAATGCAGAAGAAATAGCAGAGTTAAGAAATCGTTAATGAAAGTTAAAACTAGTGGGTGAAGTATGACCAGGAAAAGGATTTCACATAGTCTCAAAGCGTCTCCCCACAAATGACTCATTTATTACAGGGGGATAGGAACGTAACAGTAGAGCTATCTGGCAGACACCTTAACCAAGTGAGCAACACCGACATCACCAGTAGCGGGACAAAGTGACCTCGTGTACCTCCTGGTATTAAAAAGGACATGATTCTGTGGTATCCTTCCTAAAAACAGATAGTGTGAATCTAATTACAAGGGAACATCAGACAAACCCAAAATGAAGGACATGCTACAAAATGACAGGCTTATGTTCTTCAAAAATATACCAGGCAAGGAAAAAAAAAAAATGCAGTAACTTCAAAATCCTTTTACTTTTTGAGAAAGTAAAACTTTAAAAAGTTACTTAGGCCTCAGCTTAGTTTAAAAAACTTATCTGAGGGCCAACAGGTGGTGCAGTGGTTACAGTGCTCGACTCCCATGTGGCCAACTGTAGTGTGAGCCCAGACCCAGTGGCTTGAAATATGTGACAGGCATGTGCGCACATGTACCCAAAATCTCAAGAGGAGAATGGAGGAGAAGGGACTGTGGCATGGCCATCCCTCCAGGGGGAGATGTTTCACTTTATGACTCTCTCTGGCAAATGCACACACCCTATAGCAAAAAGCTCTCTAAATAAATAAATCAAACTTATTTGAAAGAAAAACGATTTTTGGAAAGTATTAATTATAAATGTTAAGTCTTACCTGAGGATTCCAAGCTGGATCTAATTTTCTAACCAGTGCAATGTATTCCTGCATTGCCTGGCTGGGGCTTGAATCACCAAGTGCTTTCCAGGCTTCCCTATAGTACAGAAATTCAAAACGACCCGTCATTAACTATGTAAATAACAGAAACAGCGTATTTCTTTCTATTAGAAAATGTATTCACACATCTCAAGGGTCTGAGATACGGAGATAATAAGCTATGGGTGGAGGAGGAGGTCTCTCTCTTCACACGTACCCTGGTCGACAGCAGTACAGACCTTACTGCTCTACCTCGGAGCTTAAAGACGTTTTTCCCTCTTAGCCCTCCTCCATGAAATTTTAGTAACACAGATATTCTGCATACATGCTAAATTCTGGAAGACCACAACCACTGTAATATAAGATTTTACCACTCCTTATATCCCAATTGCCACCCCGTTGAGGATTTATCATCTATAAGCCAAAAGAGGGAGTTCCCAACTTATGAATTAATTGTGCTTATGGCACTTCTGTACTATGGGAACTAATCATAACATAAAAGAACAATAACCCCTGGGTTATGTGTAAAGCTTCTTATTTAATATGTGAGAAATTCCCCTTACCCTTCTGTTATCTCATCTATAAGCTATTAGTAGCTAATCCTGAGGCTTTGGTCAGAGACTTTAAAAGGGATGGGTGGGGGACCAGCAGGTGCCATAGTGGTTAAGGTGCTGGACTCTAACATGACTGACTGCAGTTTGAGTCCCAGACCCAGTAGCTAGAAACTCACGTTGGGTGCGTGTGTGTGCATGCCCAAAATGCCACGAGGAAAATGGAGAAGGGATTGTGGTGTGGCCATCCTCTTGGGAGTGATTTCTCACTTTCTGTCTCTCTATCTTTCCAGGTGAATGCATATGCCCTGTAGTAAAAAATCTCTCCAAACAAAGGGGAATAATAATTGAATTAAATAAATTATTCTTTTTTAAAAAGGGAGGCGTGATCAGGCAGATAAAGGAATACTAATGAGTAAGAATGCAGGGGCTTTCTACAGTATAAGTACCAGGGGTAACATCTGAGCCACAAGAAATCTTTAGGGTCATTTTCTTTTTTCTGCTGGCTGCCAGGACAAGCCTCCCTGGTTTTTCTCTGCCAATTCTTTCTATTTCTAACCAGGGTTTCTCTATTTCCCTGATCTACTGTAAAACTGAACTCAGTCCCACAGTTTTGTCCCTATCTTCCTGCCCCTATGATGAATAGAACATATTTCTAAAGTTTTCTGAATTAATTTTTACTGACATTCTTGAGAGTTACTTATATATAACACTTCACCCCTAAGCCTACCAGCTTATATTAAACTCAGGAAATTTAGCATCGATGCTACTGCATAATATCAAGACTATATATTCGCATTTCTCTGATTGTCCCAGTAATGACTTTTATGGCTTTCTTCTTCCAGACTAGAAGTCAATCAAGATTTATACAGAGCACTGAGTTTCACAGATCTGTATTTAGCCTTTTTTGTCTTCCATGATACTGACATATTTTTAATCCAAACCATCTGTTTTATGAGCTATCCCCAATTTAGATTTGTCTGATCGTTTCCTCATCTGAATTATATTCTTGCCAAACACGATAACCATGATTAGGTCAGCAGGAGCAACAGGTGGCCTGTCCTTTACAGTGCATCATACTGGGTGCATGTGATGCCAGTCTGTCCCATTACCAAGAAGACTGATGACTTGGTAAAGGTAATACCTTCCAGATTTCTCCTTCATAATGAATAAGTAAACTGTGGGTCAGACTGCGTAAATATCATTCCCCAAAAGATTTTCATCTAATGCTTTAGCATTAGATGTCAATGAATGCTAGATGTCAGGAATTATTTGTCAATGATTCTTGCCTGATTATAGTGGCTAAAAAAATCTAAACTTTTTAAAATTGCTGAAAACAACAGAAACAAGTAAAGCATGGGAAACAAATAATGGTGATGTGATTAAATTTCATAAATTAAAACAAAAAAATAGGGAGAACAGTAATAAAATATCAGAGAACTGTTCATTATCAAGAGCAAAGAAAACCTGCACCAGAATACAAATCTGCTTCCTTTACTGAGAACGTCATACAAACAAATGTCTGCTGTACTAACAGAGTGGAAGGTGACATAAGTGATTTACATTCGAGGCAAGCTCTGCATCTCCTTTCAGCTGGGTAACAAACAGCTGGCAGACAGAAAACGTGTCCAGGGGACCACATTTTGCACACGATGGTACTATTATAGAATATAAAGTCAGAACCCATCTTTTACTACTCCCATTCTTTACCATCCGTATTTTATCTGTTTTTAAATCTACCTTCTATACTTTTTTTTTCTTTTTTGAGAGGCTTTTGCAATAGGGTGTGTGCGTTCACCAGAAAGAGAGATAGAAAGCAAGAAATCATCCTCCGGGGGGATGGCCACACCGCAATCCCTTCTCCATTCTTCTCTCGAGAACTTGGGCATGCACGCACATGCACCCGGCATGGGTTTAAGCCACTGGGTCCGGGATCTGAACCCCGAGCAACCACATGGGAGTCCAGCAACATAGCCATTACGCCAACGGCTGGTCCCCTACCATTATACTTCTAAGTCCAGGGCTGATGTTTCCAAATCTTCTCTCCTATAACTGAGGCTTCCTACTGTATGTAATTTCTCTTTTTTCACTTAGACATGGTAAAAAATAATAATAATAATAAAGCTTCACAAATAATAAGATAAAACCTCTATATGTAAAAAAAGAATGGGAGAGTATATCTTTTTTTTTAATGTATTCAAAGCCTATATGTAAAAAAGAATGGGAGAGTATATCTTTTTTTTTTAATGTATTCAAAGAAAAATAAACTCAGTACCTGGTTTTTATTTTTCCTCCTCCTTCCCACAAGATCACTATAAGTACTTTACTGTAGTGTGGTAGGAAAGAAGCAAAAGAGTCCAATAAGACAAGACAGATATGATTGGGGTAGGAAAAAAGAATGGGAGAGTATATCTTTTTTTTTTAATGTATTCAAAGAAAAATAAACTCAGTACCTGGTTTTTATTTTTCCTCCTCCTTCCCACAAGATCACTATAAGTACTTTACTGTAGTGTGGTAGGAAAGAAGCAAAAGAGTCCAATAAGACAAGACAGATATGATTGGGGTAGGAGAGAAGATTGAAAACATGGGACTGTATC